GTTTCTGAGGCAGTATCACTACGGAAGTAGGATTGCCCAACCTTCCTTCCGAGGAGTGGCTGGTGGGTTTGAATCGCCAGCCGTCTGGTTAGCAGGCAAGGTCTTAGCCACTATGCTACCAGAGCTCCCCTGACTTGCTTAGTGAGAATCAATACCACTTCTTGCAGATCACTGTTCTCCAAACCTCTAAAGAGTTCTTTGCTAGAGCACCTAAATGTTTCTGCTTTTGTGTTTCTGCTTCTGTTCTGTTGGCTATAGTGCCCAGTACTTGCATTTCATGACCCTTCATAACCTCGCCCCACACGCTATCTGCTATCTGCATTCCCGCTCTTGGGACAGCCAGTCTTCCTTCTGTGCTGCAAATGCACCCATGCCTACCTGCCTCTGGCCCTTTGATCTGACTCCCTGTCTGGAATCTTTCCTTTCTTCTTATCACATATTCCATGTCCAGTTAGTCTCCAACATCTTGCTTTTATCTCACCCCCTGACCACTTTCACTCTCTTCTCAAACATTCACTTTTTTTTTTTTTTTTTCCACTGGAGAGTTGAGTATTTACTCATATTCTCACTTGTATGGTAAAGTGTAGTTTCTTCTGTGTCAGTTTCTGGCCAGCCCAATGCTGAACATGGAGGGTGTTAGATAACTACTCATTGGTATAAAAAGTCCTGCATCCAACCTTAAGACTTAATGTACAGGAAAAAGACAGGCAGGCCACAACTCTCTTGCCCATAAAAGTAAAAAATGGGGGCTGATGTTTATAAAGCATAGTCTTAATGTAAATGTCACCACATTAAGGGATTTTTCCACTGATATCATGACAGAGCCAGGGAACTTATTCTAAGTCAAGCCATTTAAACAGAACTTAGCAATGTCAACACATCTGGAAATTAAAAAAAAATTGAAACCAAAATAAGTAAAAGTGGTTAGCTGCATGGGCCCAGATGTGCCTGTTGAGTGCTGTGTGACAATCTACAAGGAAATCATGGACCCTTGTGTGTAATCTCAGCTGTGGAACTTGGCACTTCATATCTCTGAGGGCATAGGATTTTGACCCTCCGGAAATCATTCCCACAGTGAGTCAGTTTATCATAGGACTTCATCACAGATCTGTTCTTTCTGAGATAAAATGACATGAAGTTTGGAGAAGGGCATGGCATATAGTAAACATTCAGTGAGCCTTATTTCCCTTCCTCCTTCTCCTTCCCCTGTGCTCCACCTGAGTTCCCTGTAACACCTGTGCTTTCCCTTTCACCCCAGCACATTCCATTTCTCCTGTCTTCCTTCTTTCAGAAGACCTCCAGATCCCAAGGCCCCCTTCACAGCATCTTCACAAGATAGGTGTGATTTTTCACTTCCATTCCAACAGCCAAATTCCTTACCTCATGACATGCCATCTTAAGTTAGGGCTCTGTAGTCTCTTTCTCTGTAATCCCTCTGACCCGAAGCTCTTTCCTCATTCACAAGGTCACACATGTGCCTTCCTGTGCCTCATCTTGAATTACAAGATTATCTTCCCTGCCCTGGTAGGACAAGATCTACTACCTGAAGGAGTGGGGGCATATTTAGCCCTCTCACAACCAAAGCACTCAGTGGCAGTCCCCCCTGAGAAAAATTAATACACAACAAGCCAGGGTGAGTGTGTGACGTCTTCCCATAGTGGTTCACCTGGTGAAACCTGAACTGTCAGAACATGGGTGTAGATAGCACTCTGGTTTTCTCTGCAACATTTGGTCAGAGTTCTGAGAGAGGTAGAATAACATAGTAGATAAGAAGACAGGCTCTGAAGTTGGAAAGTCTGGCCGGACAAAGCTGGACAAGTTTTGACTGTGTTACGTAAGTTCAAAAATTAGCTATGTTAGTTACTATGTGCCCTTGGGTAGATTTCTTAACTTCCCTGTACCTCAGTTTTTCATCAGTAAAATTGGGAAGATAATAGCATTTTTTCCTAGAACAGTACCCGGCACATAGTAAGAAATTTCAGCTCTCATTACTATAATGGAGAAGTATACCATACAGTGCTTAAGGGCATGGTTTTTGAAGCTAGAATGCTTGCATTCATATCCTGGCTCCACCAATAAAGTTGCTCTGTGGTCTGAGAAAGTAATTTAGCACGTCTACCTCTGTTTTCTCACCTGTAAAATGGGAATGATAATGTTGTTGTTATGTGCTGTCGAGTCGGTATTTACCTAGTAGGTTGTTATGAGGATTAAATGCATTAATACATGTGAAGCACCACATAAAATATTGTTGTTATTATTATGAAACTATATAGAAAGCACATTCCTTGACTTGGAGGTTCTGCTAATCCAAAAAGGAATATTTATTTATTTATTTTTATTTTTTTATATTTTTTATATTTTAAGAGCTTGTTACGTGTACATTTAGTTTCGCTCCCCATTTACCATGTCCAACCCTAACCCAGTCTCCTCCCCTCCCTACCCTGTAACCCTCCCCCGTGCCCCTCATATTTATGCAATCCTGTTTGCCCTGCATTTTTTCAATTTCATTGTTGGTCCTCTGGTGCCCTGTGGTCTGTTGCTCTAAAGGATGTGTTTCCATAAAGTATGTAGGTGCGTCCCCCTGGGATGGGTGGTCTGAGAGCCAGCCCCTGGGAGTATTTTATTCCAGGTGCAGAATGTATTCCAGGGCCATAGTATTTGGGGTCTCATCAGACTCCATCTGACCAGTAATTCTGGTCATGATTAAGTTTTTGGATTTTGTACCCCAGTTGCTAGTCACCAATGTAGGATGCAGAACAAAGCTTTTATGTATTTTGTTGTGCCAATTGAGTCTGGTGTTCCCCAGTACTATGGTCCTGAGATGGTAGATCTATTGGATCTCTCTCCCATAGTGTCTGTGAGGGATTACTCTGTGTCTTCTATTGTTTCTGTAAGGATTGCAGGTATTTTATATCATTGGTGTCTGTGTAAGATTAGCCTCAGTTGAATCTATCCTTGATCTGGAGTATACTCCTGTTCACTGACCCCTATCGGATCCTCTCAGGTGTTTATGTGTTTATCTGTGGCCTGGTGTTTGGTGTTTATGGTAATGCAGTATTGTGGACACATTGGTTGGTATTAGCATCCATTGTCTATCTCTTATGTGCACAATTCAGTGTCCTCCCATTTCCTAATGTTATCACGGTGGTCACAAATCCTTTCTGTATATCCCTCCCCTTACCCATGTCAGCGTGTGGGCCCCAACTAGGCCCAAATTAACCCGTCCCCTTCCTTCCCCATCCTGGTAACCTACAAAGTGAGTTCCTTTTCCCAAGCAAACCCTTCTTTTGTCTTTTTACAATTATGGGCTCATAGAGTAGTAGTCTTTCTGCAATTGACTTATTTCACTCAGCATAATGTCCTCTAGGTTCATCCCCATTGCGAGATGATTTATGTATCCCTCATTGTTCTTTAATGTAGCATAGTATTCCATTGTGTGGATATACCATAATTTGGTTATCCACCCATCTGTTGATGGGCATTTAGGTTGTTTCCATCTCTTTGCTATAGTGAATTGTGCTGCAATGAACATAGGTGTACATATGTCTGTTCATGCACTATCTATCACCTCTTTAGGATATATTGTTAGTTATGGAATTGCTGGGTCAAATGGTACTTCCATTTTCAATTTTTTAAGGAAACACCATACCGTTTGAAGTAGATGACACTATTTTGTAATGACTTGTTAAAACTCCATTTTGTAGCAAAGTCCATTTTACAAGCACTCCAGCATAACAGCACTTCTACTTCTCCCCACCCTTCTCAGAGAGACCAGTAACTATCTAAATCAAATATCCCTGAGCAACCTACTCACACCCTCCTAATCTGAAAGCCTTGTTAGTGGTAATTCCCAAAATTGAGGGCCCACATCCTGCCAACAGTAATTCTCAGAACTGAGGACCCTCACCCCGAACTGTGTGTCTCTGTTCTGATGGTAAGCTGACCATTTATCTTCCCTGAACACTAACTTGGCAGTTTATCGCTTCTGTATAACACGCTTGCTTGTCTGCTTGCAGTCCTAAGCTATATAAACCTGCCTGAAATTAGGCTTGTTGCTGCAATTGAGGAGAACGCTTTAGTTCCCTGCAGCCCGGCTATGGCTGAATAAAGATTCTTCTAAATTCTGGACATTATAATGGCATCGGTTTCTTCTGAACCCACAACGTTTTGCCACAATGGTTGTACCATTTTACAATCCCACCAGCAGTGCACAAGAGTTCCAATCTCTCTGCAACCTCGCCAGCATTTGTTATTTTCTGACCTGTTGAACTTTGCTATTATTGCTGGGGTGAAATGATATCTTATCGTTGTTTTGATTTGCATCTCTCTAATGATTAATGATCGTGAGCAATTTTTCATGTGTTTGTTGGCTGCCTGCATATCTTCTTTGATGAAGTGTCTGTTCAGGTCTTTTGCCCATTTGTGAATTGGGTTATTTGTCTTTTTGGTGTGTGTCTGTTCAGGTCTTTTGCCCATTTGTGAATTGGGTTATTTGTCTTTTTGGTGTTGAGGTGTTGAAGTCTAGTCTTCTATAGAATTTGGAGATAAGCCCTTTATCAGATATGTCATAGACAAATATTTTCTCCCAATCTGTAGGTTCTCTTTTTACCCCAAAAAGGAATATTTATAAATATTACCAGGCACTTCTAAGAAAAGTAGTGGATTAGAAATGAAAAAAACCTAGATTCAAGTACAAGCTCTGCCATTTACTGGTGGTGAGAACTTGAGCAAGTCATTTGCTGTCTTTGAGTTTTAGGTTCCTCATATATAAGAGAATATACAGCCTGTCCGGCTCATTGGTTTTTCACCCACAGACTGTATTTGAACAGTGCCTAGTGGGATTGTGTGGCATACTATCACCCATGGCAACTGATGTTTTATCAAATGGATGTGAAAAGACTACTCATTGTGATGCAATTATCATCACTTTAAATAATAACAATGACCATTTTCTTTAAGTCAGAAAACTTGCTCGAAGTGTTCTTTTGTTGCAACTCAGTTAACCTGTGTGTTGAGAAATAATGACTTCTGTGGCTCATGTTTGCATGGGGAACATGCAGAAATATTCCCATCCAAAACATATTCTCATATGTTCGTATACTTTCTTCTCTACCTCACACCCACTTCTTGTTGAGCTCAAAAGCAGGGGTGAAGGGATATGTTTTGAAATTCTAGTTGGAATTCTCCTCAGATAATAAAGAACAGCAGAATGAATGGTTACTACTCACCTTTGTAGAGTTTGTTGCGGGCGTAAACCCTTGGACTGACCTTGATAGCTGGGCCAATGGTGCAGTTCTTATTGAAGAGATCACAGTTATCATTGGTACCTACAGAGCTGGCAGAAGAAAGCAGCAGGCCCAGGAACAGAAACAGCCCCAATGGCAGCAGCGTGGAGCCCTGGACAGTCATGACTGTCTTGATCTGTTCAGGAAGCTTCTGTGCCTGAAACTGCGGAAGACTGACAACTCACCCTCCTATTTCTATGCTCTGGGGCTGGAACATCTTCAATGAGGTCAGACATGCTAATCTCCCTCCCATCCTTCCCAAAAAGGAACTGGCTTCTGGAATGTGGCCCAAGATTTCTCCAGGAATGGATCTCTTATACTTGTCACCAATTCCAGTTGTGATCAAAAAGAAGAATATACTGAGTATGGTTTTATGTTGCATCTCACTCATTCCATCATCTGTTATTTGAAGAAACCCATGGAGAAGAAGTAAATACAAGCAAAGTGAAATTCAGAGTTGAATAATCTTTACATACCTGGTCCATACCAATCTCCCTTGAATTTCAGGCATCCTCTTCCACCCATCCTTAATCTATCATTTCTTTAATCCCCAGTTCATTTTGGGACTAGTTTAGAAGTAGACAGACTTCTGGACTTCTATTTACTTATTTGGGAAGAAACAACTTTAGTCTGCCTTGTTCCGGACACTTTCCTCCATAGCGCCATAGCGCAAGGAAACTACTAAAAAAAAAAAAAAAAAAGAGGAAATAAATTTTTCATATTTCTTCTCTGCTTTTTTATGACTTACTTACTGAAGGAGAAAAGAGGAAAGTGCTCTGCCGTGTGAGTAGAAAGAAAATGAAAAATCTGGAATTGAATCAATGTAATTTATAAAGATGTTTCTTTAAGGGAAGCACTTCTAGAATGGTGAGGTAAGGACTTCTGAAAACATACTTCTCCATAAAAGCAATGAGAACACTAACAGAAATAGTCAAAAGTAACTTTTTCAGCACTCTGAAATTTACCAAAGGCTTGGAACAGTTCCAGGAGCATTTATTCACAGAAAATAATAGAATCTCATTGAAAACAGTGAGCCTTATAGTATTTTAACTTGTCATATTCCAAATCATCCCACTCTACCTCTGTGGTAGCCTTGGAAACCAACAGCCTTGCAGTATAGTAGCTGTGAAGACCAGCAGCCCAGCAGCCAATGGAAGGGGTGAAATGGGTTTGGAGCTCTTCCAAAACTCACACTCTCAGAGCAGTGTCACTACGTGACCTATATGAAAGTTGCCTGCATTCTCAGGGCTTGTCTTTATTTGACCTGACTCAAAGCTTGCTTTCTGTGAATAGTACTATTACTAGAGTTTTTATGGAAAACAATCAGGGACAGTTGTTTAGAATCACTGTTCCCTGAGACAGTGATTTTAGTTGGGGACAGCAAGAGATTGACCAAAAGATGTAAACGGAAAGACTGGGGAATGAGATCCATAAAATGCTTTGAAAACTAACATATTTCAGGGAATCTAGAAGGCCAAGTGCGTGTGCAGGGCTATGAACATGCCCAGGAAGGACTTTAAAAAGTCCTAATCACTCACTTCTAGTTGACCTTGAGGATTTGTGCAAGCAGATAATGAAGGGAAAAAATTCTACTATGGCAGAATTGCAAACCACTTGTCTGACTAATGAAGGCAGTCCTATTACACACACACACATACACACACAGAGCTTTTGGTAAAGATGAGGAGATATTGGTTCAAGGTGTTTAAGGAAATCTCTATCTAGTTATTATATCTAGTTATTACTGACCACCTCGCTAACCTAGCAGAGTCGTCGGTGGTCATACACTTTAAAGAATAGACTTTATAGAATCAATCCAGGAAGTTACTAAATGAACAAGCAAATAGCAAAAGCACAACAACCACAGACAATAGCAACAAACAGCAATAAAAACAAACTCTAGGGTTGGAGAGGGTTATCTGATTTCTAGAGTTGCCATAATGCATTTAAATTTTTTTTTTTTTTTTTTTTTGCGTTTTGAGTGAAAGTTTAGAGAGCAAAATCCTTTTCCATATAGCAGTTCATACACATTTTGTTTCGACATTGACTGCAGTCCCTACAATGTAACAGCTCTCTTCCCACTTCCTCCCTGTAGTTATGTCTTCTCTGTGTCCTTCTGTCCTATGCGTTCCTGCCCCCTGAGCTGTCTCCCTGTGCAAACACTGCCCTTCTGTTCACCCACGATCATTGATTGATCGCTCTAAGGAGTACATCTACCTAAGGTAAATGTTCACACTACATAGCTGTCTGTTGATGGCTAGAAGCCACAGCAGTGAGTTCAATTCCAGACCTCAAAGGTAATGAAGGGCCATAGTCTTTGGGGTCTCACCAAGCTCTATCAGACCAGTAAACCTGGTCTTTTTTTTTTTTAAATGATTTTGAGTTTTGTTCCACATTGTTCTCCCACTCTATCCAGGATCTCCTGCACTGATCCCTTTCCAAGTGGCTGACAGTGGTAGCTAGGCACCATCTGGTTCTGCTGGGCTCATGGTTATATAGGTTGAGGATTGCATGGTCTACTAGTCTTTTGGACTAATTGTTTCCATGTGTCTTTGGTTTTCTTCATTCTTCTTTGCTCTGGTCAAGGAGAGACCCATTGTCACATCTATATGGTCATTCGTAAGCTTTTAAGACAGTTGCTACTCACCAAAGTAGGATGTAGAACAATGTTTTTGTGTAGCATGTTATGCCAATTGAGCTTGATGTCCTCTGTGACTATGGTCCTAAGCCCACAGGTCCAACTACTTATTCCATCAGGGTTGTTGGCTGTGGCCAAGAAGTTATCATAACTCTCACCCTTGTTAGCTCTATTACATATTTGGACAATTCTATAGCACATACAAATATGTATGTAGAGATGTCATCTGCCATCCTTGTATATGGTCATGGGTATATTCCATTTTGCCTAGACATTCTTGATCATTCAGCCTATCTATCCATCTATTTACCCATACATTAATGCTTGTTGTCACTGACAACATGGTATTGTATATGTAAAAGGATTTATCTTTGTTGTACCTCTTGTGTACCTCTCTGTGTCTCCCTCTTCCTCAGTGCCACTGTGTTTGTCACTTGCTTTTGGTACATTGCCCTTCTCTTCACCTAAATCAATACTTGTTTCTACCTATCTAGCAGTGTTTCCTCCCCACATCCCATCCCTTGTAACCAACAAAGACAATTTCCTTCCATATATAAACCTTTCAATGACTTTTTGCAATAGTTAACTAATACAATATTTATCTTTCTGTGATTAACTTATTTTACTCAGTATAATATCCTCCAAGTTCATCCACATTATACAATGTTTGATAGATTCTACATTATTCTTTAGTGTTGCATAGTATTCCATTGTGTGTATGTACCATAGTTTGGTTATCCATTCTTCTGTTGATGAACACCTAGGTTGTTTCCATCTCTTTGCTATTGTGAATAGTGCTGTGATGAACATGGGTGTGCACATATCTGTTTGTGTCCTGGCTCTCACTTCTTTGGGATACATACCTAGTAACAGGATTGCTGGGTCAAATGTTCTTTTTAATTCCAACTTTTTAAGGAATCGCCATACTGATTTCCACAGTGGTTGTATCATTTTATAGTCCCAGCAGCAGTGGATGAGAATCCCAATCTCTCTACATCCTCACCAGCATTTGTTATTTTCTGTGCTGTTGGACTTCAGTATTAGTGCTATAATACATTTTTAAATGTCCAGTTTTCAACAAAAAATTATAAGACTTGCGAAGAAATAAGAATGTATGATCCAACACAAGGGGGGGGGGGTGTCAATTGAAATGTTTAAGGAAGCCCAAACATTGGATTATGAGTTTTTTTGTAGAGCTCCAAACTAGTCTCTTCAACAACTAGTCCTGGGGCAACTAAAGATCCACATGCAAAAGAATGAATGTGGACCCCTGCCCTGCACTATATACAAAAAATTAATTCAAAATGTATCAGAGATCTAAATGTAAGAGTTAAAACTATAAAACTTATAGAAGACAACATAGAAATGACTCTCCCCTTGGATTAAAAAAATAAAATAAAATAAACCTGACTGCTGTTGAGTTGGATCCAACCCATAGCGACCCCTCCTTGGGTTTCCAAGGTGGTAACACTATGGAAGTAGATTGCCCTATATTCCTTCTGAGGAGTGGTTGGTGGGTTTGAACCACCAGCCTTCTGGTTAGCAGTCAAATACCTTAGGCACTATGCCACCAGAGCTCCCACCCTTGGATTAGGCAATAGTTAATTAGCTATGACATTTAAAGCAAAAGCAATAAATAAGTAAATGAGTAAATTGGACTTTGTGATAGTTGAAGATGTGTCAACTTGGCTGGACTCCAGTTGTGAGTGGTGGTTCCCATGATGGATCACATGACTGGGTTCTGAGCGGCCGGTCTGCCCGGGGGGAGTTTCCCCGGGGGTGTGGCCTGCCTGCAGTGCTATCCCAGGGACAGGCTGGAAGAACGGCATTCTGGACTATATACTTCCTGGAGTGAGCAGCCCCCTGCTCGCCCTGGAGGTTTTCGGATTCATTCTTTGTTGGGAACAGTGACCAGTGTGCTGCGTGTCAGCTTGATTCTCTCGGCTCTGTTGTGCTTACAGGAACCAGGCGGCTCCGGGCCCCATCCCCCTCCAGAGATGAACTTTGTGGCTTGAACTCCTCTGCCGTGCGTGCGAAAGCCAGGCGGCTCTGGGCCCCATCCCCCTCCAGAGACGAACTTTTCAGCTTGAACTTGTTGGCTTCTACACGCTTGTGAGCCATTTACCTAAGATAAATCTCTCTCTCTCTCTCTTTCTCTCTCTATAAATATATATATATACACTTTGCTGGTTTTTGTGTTTCTCTAGAGAACCCAATCCAACACAGACTTTATCAAAGTTAAAAGCTTTTGTTTTTTCAAATGATGCTATAAAGAAAGTAAAAAGACAACCTACACAATTGGAGAAAATATTTGCATATCATATTTCTGATAAATGCTCAATATCCAGAATATGTAAGGAACTCATACAGCTCAACAATAAAAAGACAAATACCTCAGTCTAAAAATGTGTGAAGATTTGAGTATTTGTACAGAGAAGTTATATAAATGGCCAATAGCACAGGAAAAGATGCTCTACATCACCAGT